AGCACGATCGGACGATGGATGTACTTCATCGACCAGTTTGACTTCACACCGAAACATCTTCCCGGCCTCTCCAATCGCGCAGCAGATGCACTCTCACGAAGACCTGATCTTTGCGCTATGACTCATCATGCCTTCGCATTAGACGAGGAGCTTCAACGACACTTAATCCAGGCATATCAATCTGATCCGGACTTTGACACGCTCTATGCACAGCTATCTTCGGATCACCCGCCAGCCAACCACTATCACATTGCCGACGGGTACTTGCTCCTCCACTCGAGAGGCAAGAACTTACTATGTATCCCACGCGACCGTCATCTTCGGACTTGCCTCCTCGGCGAGTATCATGATTCACGACTCGCCGGCCATTTCGGAGTCAACCGCACTATTGCACGGCTTCGACAGCGATTCTGATGGCCTGACCTCATTACCGATGTCACTCGGTATTGCGACTCTTGCGAAGTTTGCCGACGCAGCAAGCCCCGCAACCGCAATCCCTACGACGAGTTACACCCGATGCCTATCCCACGGGAACCCGGTCTCTCCATTGCCATGGACGTCACCGGTCCGTTTCCTCGCRACCGGCTCGGGCACGACGACATCCTCACGGTTGTGGACCGATTGAGTAAGTACGCTCGTTTTCTCCCTTGCAAGTACTACTCCACGGCTCCCAAGCTGGCACGCCTCCTGCACACTGGTTGGATTTGTGGCCACGGTGTACCAGAAGACATTGTCAGCGACCGAGACACTCGTTTCATGTCGGCGTTTTGGACTGCTCTCATGCAGGAGTCCGGCACAACAATGAAACCAAGTTCGGCTCGACATCCTCAGACAGACGGGCAGACGGAGCGCGCACATCAAACCGCTCAAATGATGCTTCGTACGCTCATCCGTYCGGACCAGAAAGATTGGGTTGACCGCCTCCCCGACATCGAGTTTGCCTACAACACTTCGGTGCACCCGGCGATCGGTGTGACTCCATTCGAGTTGCACCACGGTGGACGGAAAGGCCGTATCTTCGCCGACCTTCTCCTCCCTCGACCATCCGACATTGACGTTGCTTGCTCTCCCGCATCCGTCCGGAAGTACAGGGAATTGCTCACTCAAGCCCGCGCGAACATGCAAAAGGCTCAAGTCCGCATGCAGCAGCAAGCAAACAGGCGTCGCGTACCATGTCCCATCCGCGCCGGTGATCTGGTTTGGGTCTCCGCGGAAGAGTTTGCACTGGAACAGGACGTTTCACGCAAACTGCTTCCCAAGTGGTTTGGACCTTGGTCTGTGACAGCAGCCACGGGCGATGAGCCCGATGACCCTTCATTTGTGATCAACATTCTAGAGCATCTGACGGTCCATCCGGTCTTCCACGCCTCGAAGCTGGCAACATACACGCCAGCCAAGAGCGACGACTTTCCGGACCGACGATCGCAAGACCCTCCTTCTATGGATGGCCATCAGGAAGTTGACCGCGTCATCTCCGATCGCAAGTACGGCAACAAGCCGCGGCAGTACAAAGTCGCATTCAAAGCATGCGATCGCGACGACACTCGGTGGATTTCAGGCACAGATTTGAAAGCATCCGCATTGCTGATCTACGCGCATTATGAAAAGCGGAGGTTAGCTCAGGAAGCTTCACGACCAGCCCCTCCCACCCGGACTGTGGTCCCTCCCTCAGACAGATAGCTTCGCCCTCGCAGGTAAGCTCGGTTCTTCAAGGAGGGGGGGGTGTGGCATACTGCGTAGCCACACGGGCCCTGCAGNGTCCGGACATTTTTACAACCCCAGGCACCGGTCCGGACTGTCCGGGTCCGGTAATGTCCGGGTGTCCGGTGATGTCCGGATCAACGGACAGTCCAGACCGGTCCAGACACTGGTCCGGACGACAGTTTGGAAGTGTCCGGTGTCCGGGTCCGGGGTTACCATGAAGAAAAATCCCTCATTAATAATCATTCCAGGGAAATGAGCTGCTTCATTATTCAACTTAAGAATCTTCCTTGGGAAGAGAACAGGGCCTCGTTTGACACCACTACAAAACGCTTACATCTAAGGTTTTCATCGTTCCACCCCTCCCCAATCACGAAGAAAAAGAAGTTTAATTTGTTTTCACATTCGCAGCCGTAAGGGCGGGCCCTACAAAAGTAAGTACCGCCCAGCCAAAATGGCCCTTACCGTAAGGACGGCCGTGGAGGTCACTTGAAAGTAGGGGGTGGCACCCTTACATCTGCGAAAGAACCATTTTTTTTAATTTTTTTTTTAACATCAGGTGTGTCTTTTGGCCACTTAGAACGCAAACCGAGGCACCTGAAATGTAAGTGCGCCTAAGTGTAGGGTTTTTGTAAGTGGTTGTGGAACAAAAAATGGGGTAAGGGAAAATTAATCACTTTTTCCCCGTAAGGCCGCCCTTACAAAGTAAGGGTTTTGTAGTGGTGTCGAACGAGGCCCACAAGCTTAGACAACCAGTACATCCGAGCCTCTTTTCGCTGAGGCAGATTCCCCCTGTGCGCCAGGCTTTGCTGAAACGCCAGCATGACATTTTTCTTTTCGGCAAACTGCTCGTGGGTCACCTTTTTAGTCCGAAATTCACATCGTCTGAGTTCAAAAAGGCAAAAAAAACATGACCTGGCAGGGGTATGAGGGCCACAGTTCCTGTTCAGGAAATTTGTCCATTGAACTCCTTTCCTGGATCGTTTTCTTTTCTTTTTTCTTTTTTTTTTCCCCTGGTGTGAGCACCCGTCCCATTGCACCTGCAATGGGCCGCAGTAGAACATGGTAGGGCCAAGCCCTAAGCAGTTCCATTCACCAGATGAATCTTTCACCAGATGAATYTTCAGCTGGAACATGGCAAGATACAGCACCACATGGAGCCACAGCCATAGGGGAGTTGTGGCATACTGCGTAGCCACACGGGCCCTGCAGRGCCCGTCCCGGACATTCAGCCTAAAAGCCTAAAACTTAGGGCTTACAGGCCCCGGTCGTTTCAGCCTGAAAGCTGAAAAACGAGGGCCTGCAGGCCCTACTCCGTTTCAGCCTATTTCTGGGTCTTTAAGACCCAGAGTTTTTCCAGCCTGAAACGGAGGGCCATTTTCAGGCCCTCATTGTTTCGACCTGCCCCTTAGACTCAGGCACGTAAACAGGGATGCGGAAYAGRCCAGAAATAGCCTGTTCCTCACGAGCTCGAGCAGGAGCTGCAGCTGCAGCCCCTGCCTCCTTTCGGCATTGGCAAGAGCAGCCTCCTGAACTGCTCGCACGGCTCAGGAGGCACACCCGAGTAGTACATAGGACAGTCCTAGGCACTTCACGGGTAGGTAGTTGGACAGTAGGACGGTAGTCTTCAGATTTCGGCCGCAGCACTCAGGAGGAGCGCTGCAGTAGTCTTCAGCGCTAGGCAGTAGGTATTAGCGCTAGCTGTAGTCTTCGACGCTGGGCGCCATAGCTGTAGCTGTAGTCTTCAGCGCTGGGCGCTGGTAGGTGGTAGATCGCAGAGTGGGAGAGAGACTGGCGGAGTCCAGTGATACTTACCTGTGGCGCCATCGCTCCAGCTCCATCTTCGTGGTACCTGCATCAAGGCACCAACTTCACAGGTTAGTACTGGACACAGAGAGAGAGAGAGAGAGTTATTCTTCTTCCTCTTCTAAGTCCACCTTCTCTYCTCACCCTCTCGCCACCTGACTTCTCAGACTACGACAGAGAGAGAAAGAGTTGTGACTTGAGACTTGATGACATTGGATCCAGACTCGACATTGGGATTCAGACATTTTGACGAGGGACTATTTGGGCCTGTGCGGAACACTTGGTGTTGACGACATTCCCATCTTCCCTTCKTCTTCGTCTAACCCCACCTCCTTCGTCTGTGTATGGTTGGGGCTGGCGCAGTCTTCTTGTGTGAAGCGCCAGACCCCCTCACACCATGGTGATGATGATGTATGTTCGGGGCTGCATTGCAATAAAGATTGTTCGGATCATTGGTATCTAAGTGTTCCGCTGTGTTATCATATACTCTGTATTGAAAGGTCGGTTCTTGTTCTGGTGTGCACGTTACAGTATGCAACAGGAGTTGTCTCCTTGTTGCCGAKAGATTCTTTGTTTTTTTTTTTCTTTCTATGTTCTTCTCTCAAATTTTTTGCCTTTCACTACCTTCCTACCACTACTCCTAAGGCTTGGACCCCACTGGCCGGCGGTGTGGAAGTCATTTTCCATTTCCATGTTTACGGGACCCCACTGGACCGCCAGGAAGGTGCGCCAATGCGAACTCGGGACCCCACTGCCAGTGTCAGGCTGTCGTGGAAAACCGTAGGAAGCGTTTCCACATGGTCGGCGGCTGGAAAAAACTGTTAGACTGTCCGGCCACTGTTTTCCAAAACCAACGTTTTTTGAAACGGGGGGGGGGCACCCCTAAAGATGTTGTACCAGGGCACGGGCGGCCTGGTCCAGTGCACGATGGGGTGGACCGTCTCTTCAAACCACGGACAACAGTGGTGCGTCGCACCGTTCGGGTGTGGGACCGTTCCGTTGCGTGGGGGCTTGCGGTCCCGTGTGCCGAATTTGCAACGAACACAAAATTCGAAATGGGTTGGGCTGTGGGAGCGGGGCGTTCCGCATGGGTGTTGTCGTCCGCTTCGCACGGGTTGGCGGGAAATTCAAATTCGCGGAGTGCGCACGTCGACCATCCATGCAGTGTTGGGGCATGCGTTGTACGGGCCGGCCGTCGTCGACTTCATACACAGTCGGCCGTTAACAATGTCGGCGGTTCTTCGTGTAGCGAGGAGCAGCCGCGAGGCGTGTGTGCGTGGTTGCAGGCAGTTGTCTGAAGGGGGTGCTGTGGGATGTTGTCGTCGTCGTTATGTCCACAGCACGGGTCGAAGTTGGGCGCGTGCATGTACAGCACCATCACGGAGGCAAGGGCTTCTGCCCACACGAGTGTGCAGTGCGCAATCCTATCTGGCAGTTCGGCCTTCGTCGTCGTTCGCTGCAGGGGTGCTCCTTCCACGCTTGTCGGGGATCGGCACGGTGGTTGCTCGTACTTCAAACCAACCTTCGCATGGCCGATCTTCGCACAACCACTCTGGCATGACGGAGAGAGGCGATGTGGACGGTGTGAATGCACGTGAATACGTGCGTGGCCCGTTGCCGTTCAGTGGCGAAGTGGGAGTGCATGATCTTCGAACACGGTCGACGGTCGAACATCATCAGTCCTGCTACTGCCGTCCTGTTTACATCTTCGTAACGAACGGGGTGGACGACAGCGGCCGGCTGTGTTATCGTGTGAATGCGTCTTTGGTGGTGCTGTTGTTCTTCTTCGCCTTGGCTGCAGCGATGTTGTTGGCAGTGATTCTGTGTGGAGTGGTGCTGTTGTTGGCCGTGTTCACGCTGTGTGCGTAGCACCAGATTGTTGCGCGAACAGGTGTGGCAAGGGCCTGTCACTCTTCGGGGTGGGGGAAAGATTGAATCTTTCGCATGTCTTGCGTCGTGATGGATTTGTCGAGGTGGAGGGCGGATCCGAATACCGGTGGGGAAGGCGGTTTTCATCTGGCAGATCCTAGACATCATGCAGGTGTCGCATATGGTGCCTCCCCATCCCCAAGTATGCTACCGTTCCACAGGGGAGCCGTCAACGGAATGCAAGGGCAGGCCATGGGAGTTCCTTCGGGACCCGGGATGTCGATGCCRYRCATGYAGTCCATGATTGCACGTCCGCRATTGCCTTTGCGCCCTGCATCACAGACGRTGCCAGCCGGGGCAGGGTACGTCGCTAACGCTTCGTTCAGCGCGCAGCTTGCTGGCGGGTATGCACCGCCGGGTGTGCAATCCATGCCTGYCGGAACGRCGCTTGGCATTTCCGGTCAGGTGTTCCCTGCATCTCAGGCCATAGATGGTGGGTATGGATGCGGAGCGGAGCCGCCATGGTCGGCTCCGTGTGGGCAAAGCAGTCG